TTAACCTTTGATAAACTTAATTCAATGGCTTTATAGAGTTTTATACATTCTTAATGACGATTTATAACATTAGTTGACACCTTATATTAAATCGTTGATAATATAATTCACACTTATGTGTTCATATTGTTGAAGAGTTTCAATCTCTATTGAAACAACTATCCAGCTATGAAAGCGGAAGAATGTATTTGTAAAATCTCAGCGAATGAATTCGAAGTAAATCCAACGTTTTGTCTGGCAATCTTGAACCAATCTTTTTCAAGGAAATATAATCAAACATCAAAATTATCGATAATTTTGATTATATTTTCTTAAAAAACAAGCTTGGATCACATTACTAGGTGAAATGTTGGATTTATATCAAATTCATTCGCGCCCAAATACTATGCAACTATTCGATCAAATTTAGACGAAATGTCTTATTTAACTATCCAGCTACTATCTGGTTTACTTTAATTCTACAACTCCTTGCAAAATGATATAAAAGTTAGATTTAACCAATTTGTATATATATATATATATATATATATATCACTTTTCATAATTTATCACTATGACTATATGCGTTTTGTGTATAAAGTAGTTAATCAATCTATTGAGTACTCAATTTACTCACGTGTATCTTACATATAAATTTGTGTTCGATCAATATATTTTACATGAATAAGCAGTGGTGTACTTTATCAATTTGTTTTCTTTTTTTATATTGATATCGAATTAAATAGAAAATTCATAGTGATGTGAGATTATGTTCTTTTGAGAAAATAAACACTACTGAACTAATAATTGTTTAAATAGTTGAGATCATGAGTCAATTGAAGTTGAAACACCATGGAAAATCTGGAAGCATTGGATGGCCGTTTCGTCCTATTCCAGGACTCCTCAGTAGTGCGTATCCACAATTCCACCTCGCGAGATTCGAACACAGGACCTATAAGTTTCACAAGTGAACCCTTAACCTCTAGACCACTGAACTGGCATCCAATAGTGTTAACGTCTAACTTCAATTAAAAATTATTTGATAATTTATACTACATAGAACCAATAATCAGAACTTAAATTACTTTATTCTATTGTCTGTTGAAGACACAAAGTTTTGAGTTGATTAAACGGATATTTTTATAATTTCTGTAACTAACAAAGAATTATTCAATCACATTTCAAATCATAACTTTATAGACCGATTTAAAATTATCTTATATCTGTGTCAGAAGTACTTTTTTTTACTTCAAAATGTTTGAGATCATGCAAATCAAGATTTGAACTTGACGGATGCCTAGATTACATCTCTTCTTTCATGTTATTGATTGATTAACCAATTTTATTCATTGTAGACTAGGTATATAGTTCTGTTTGGTATTCGATTATGTCATTATTTATTGAAAAGCAATCATTTATACTTTTCAGTTTTCTAAAATGAATCTAATATTTCCAATGTAATATACTTTAATAAGTGTTTTCAGTGTCTTGATTGTCTTTAATGTTCAAAGATTTAGATTTATCGAATTAACAAATGATTGAAATTAAGTGAGGATTAAATATTGGATAAGTATACTTGAATCCTCACTCACAAAACATTTTCGAAAAACAACAACCATAGAAATTAGTGAGTGATAAAAAAGGGTGAAAAAGTAATCTTTAGAAAGGCAGCTTCATTAAGTCCATGTGAGATATCTACACTTAACATTCTACTAAATTCATTTTTAAATGTGGAGTATTGATTCGACAAACAATTAACAAATCATACATGAATCTGAACAAACAGAGGCATAATAGTAGAAAAAGTGTTTTGTATACTGGCAGGTTATTTGATAATATCATAGTAAGTGGTTTCTATATACATTTTTAATCTAATAACCGAAGTGAAGTTGATGTTTTCAACAGACGATATTGATTACTTTTATTTAAAACAGATTCAAGGGAATTTCTGGAGACCTCATATATTATGGAGGTAGTCTTCATGCATATTGATAGATGTAGAATCGTTGAAGAATAGAAAGCAGTGGGCCAGTATTTCAATCTAGCAGGAGACTCTTCAATTGTGTGCTTCCACAATATGATGTGGGATTGAACCTAAGACTTCCTGAGGTGGACATAATATCCTTAGCTAATTGAGTCAGAATTCAAAGATCCGCACTGCTAAATATTCATTTTCTTCTTAAGACTCTGTTTGGATTTTTATTCTCAAGCTACTTCATAGATTCGTGACACCACTATCCAGTGACCACAGATATTTAAATTTCGTTCAACTTATGACAGTTGTAACAAAAACCACATTCGAAAGATCCATATGAACATAAACAGTTTTTCTCCACTATAATGTAGAAGATTTTAACCAAACTAGTTTGTCTATAAATGATGTTATTCCGATATAAGATTGAATATACCTCTGGTTTTGTTTAATTATAATTAGAGGCGAAGCAATATATAAGCGCCTCTTACAGTCTGTTTTGGATAATGTTTCTTTGCGTAGTTATATCATTTCATATAATTAACTGTTCTGATAAATTCATAGTAGAATATAAAACAATCTATCCTTCATGTACTAATATTTGCTTTCCACAAAAATGACTGATATACATATTGTTTATTGAAGAAAGTACCATATGAAATAAATATCATGCCAAATAATTGTCTTATATAGACAGGGGAATGATGTTAAGTACTCATACATTATTGTTTTATATTTCAAATATACTCTGCTAAATCCGAATTTCATTTGAAAGGGTGAGATGTTATGAAATGATAGCAGAAAAGTTTGTTAGAACCTATCGCTTAAAACTTATGTTGTTTTTAAGAGGTTTACATCAATTGAATATAACCATAGAGTTGAAATGATAAACAATCTAGGTAGCTTTAAATAGTTTTTGTGAATGAAATCAGAATAAGGTTCACCAGGAAAAATCACAAGTAGGCTGTTTTTAAGCACAAACTTCGTACTAGTCGTGACTCAACAGTAAGGTTACTCTCACGTCCTTTAGAAAATCGGTTTATTCTTGATGCACAAGTTTAAAATGGTACATCTTGAAACAATGGAGTGATAGCTGGTATCTTAAGTTAAAATCTTTTATTTGGGGAATCTGACAATAATCGAAAAAGAAAATGGTTTTTATCCATAGTTACTCGATGGTGTTATGTTCTTTCATGTCTAGAAAGATAACAAAAGCTTCACGACCCGACTGTCGAGCTCAGCTCTAAAATCTTCATCCTTCAGTACGTATTAAAGCGACAATGAACAACTTAACTATTACGTCCGCATTGCAAATTAACAACATAAATCATGGAGTTATGGCGAAAATGATTAAAATTGTAGCCAACCATTCAAATGATTATATCTTCACACTACCGAGGAGTCCTATACTAGGATGAAACGGCCGTCTGGTGCTTCTAGGTTTTCAGTGGTGGTCTAACATTGATTGATTCATGGTCTCAATCACAAACCCAAACTAAATTTTTATTAATTAAATCCCATTTAAGCATCCTATTTTAATTTTTTGCAGTTGAATTCAGTATTTAGGAAGTTTTAAACCTAGATTTCTTGCTAATTGTTGCTAGACAGCAACACAGAATTGGGATATTAATGGAGTAAATACTCACTTAGCTATCTAAATCAATGTCACAAGAATGATCAATGAAAAATGCAAAGAAACCTTGTTAGTAGGTGATAATTATTTTTCTAGTTATTTAATCTCTTATTTACCGTCGACTAACTTAGAAAAAAATAGAAGCAGATGTGAAAAGGATAAATAACAACTGGAAAGAGCTGGAAAGGATTTCACAGGACAGGGTTAGATGGTCAGTGCTGGTTGGCGGCCTAAGCCCCTCAACGAGGAGTAACAGGCGTAAGCAAGTAAGCAACTTACATAAAAATACTGAAAGGTAGGAAATGACAAAAGGTTGTAGACTTCAAAATGGCAAAATAATGCTTACTAACGATTGTGATTGAAATCAACACAATAAATTGATTATTTTTGTGTAGATAAGCTCATGTAAAAGTTTTCTTTAAAACATGTAAATTCACCCTAGAAGTATGATATTGATATTTTCAGTTTAATCGAAACACTCTGTGAATGAAGTAGATTTTTATGAGTAGCTTAACAAATAAGTAAATGAATACCATAAAGATTGAATGTGCGAATTCAACTATGAATCAGTTTCTCTTTCATTTACAATCACATTAAATACATATTGGTTCGACTGACTAACTCTATTCTAAATATTGTCTGTTTGATCAATCATTAGAGAATGTAAGTCCTTGAGAGATTCACAAACTTTCTTTGATCCCAACGCATTAAAATATATCAAATCAGAATACATTTCATTCTGTCTTTATAATGATCACGATTATATACTAGTTTTTAACATATAAATTCATTAAATATCATACTTTTTGAAGCATAGTAAAATGTCTTATTGTTATTAACTAAGTGCTTCAATCATTCGTTTTGTTTTGCCTGTAACCCTAATATCAATATTTCTATAAGACTATTGAATACATATTCGTTAAATAAACATAAATATCAAGATGTTACCAATCGTATGTAAATCTTCATAAGATAACTGACTAGTGTTTTACAGTTTGTAGTTATTGTCTAAAATAATTAAGTTATTCAACATTTCTGACTATAAGTTCTATTGATATATCTAACTCAGTTAAGAATGAAGAGGATCTAGAAGCTTCATAATGTGAAAAGAAAGTAATGAATACTTTAAGTGTTTATAAAGCTATATAAACCAATTATTAAAGAGTTATAGTCAATAGTGCTCTCTGTTTTAATTGTTTATTTATACTTTTAGAGAAAATAATTATCAGTAGTTAAGAGTAATTTACTTATCTACCATTTAATGCCCTATTAATATAATTATCAGGAATTTTAAGAATTCATCATCTGCTCAATAATCATATCTACTCAACCAACTATCATCATTTCTTTTTAAAAATATTACCAGAATATATGCAATATAAAATATATCAAATATAATTTATTGCAATAACTTACAGAGCAAGCATGGATAAGACCCGCATGTTCACCTAATAGAACTCCATACATCTCTGGCATTGCAATTGGAGTCCATTGACAATGAGTACACATTTCTTTAAATTTATAAATAAATTTCATTCATTCATTTTTTTTCTCTCTTCAATTGATTATAGACAAACAAAATCAACACCAATGACAATGAATCAATTGAATAACCTATCACGTAATTTATCAAACACTATTATAATCAATTGACATGATGTATATTTCTATGATTAACTATATATAAAAGAGATTTATCGGTTGTATTCTAATATGTTGTAGTAAAATAAAAGATTAATTCATTGTGTTTTATGTGCAAATGATAATAATCAATTAATAGTTAGTAAAGAAGAAGAAAAAAAAACACTTTCCATTGTGATACTCATTGATATAGTAACAGGATACTTAAACAACCAATCATAAGTGAATGAAATCAATGTGATCGATCACGTGTGTTTTATAAAATTCACATGTATATTTGTATGTATCTAAGTTACTTTACATATTACTTATTATTAAAAGAAAAGAAGGAACAACTGAAACTTTTTTGATGTGAATACAATTATTGATGAGTTTTATTAATATGAATGAAAAATCTATTTGTTTGTTTGTTTTTCATTGATAAAATGGAGTCCCTCCGGGAGCTACTGCCGGTCCCATGCCCGAGTAAAGGAGGAAGTTTGGGCATGAGGTTAGCGACCCCATTCCGTAGAAAAATAACTCGCTAAAAAAACGCTAACCGGAAAAAATTATTCAAACCTATCATATATATAATACTACTTAATAATAATATGTATCCACAACTTTCACTATACTACTGATCCATGTAATATTTTCAGTTATATTAACAGGAGATTTCTTAAAACACACTACAGTCAAATTATTTGGTTGGAAAGTTTAAGATAAATTGTCTATCAGTTTATACTGTATAAATGAAGGAAATAAAATTTACGAGATAATGTGAACAGAGAAACAAGAAGCCTTAACAAACTACGGACGTTATTTCATTTAATTCATAGCTTGTAAGACAGTAACATTTATTTTTGTCTTTTAATCTATTCTACAGATCTTAAGCTTTCGTTTGATGTATAATTCACTGACATAACCCTTTTTGTTCCAAAGCTATTGTAATTTAAACGTATTATTTTATACTCTATTTTCTACGCTAATCCCCAGTTTTGGATATAATTGTATTTTTCTAATTATTGTACGTTGTGGTCGGGTTAGTCATCTATGTATTCATGTAACTTTTTACACTGATCGGAATCGGTAATAAATCAAGTAGTTTTCTAGTTGACTTGTCGTCTCCTCACTCGCGTGCTTGTCAGATAATTAGGTGGTAGAATAGTTTTCTTCTGCCTATCCCGCTTCGAACTCACGCTTACTAGCCTCAAGGTTATGCCAGTCAGCCTATCGCGTCAAGGTCTTAATCTAGATTAGACAAGTATCTTCTGCACAAAAGTGAGTAAACAGATCAAGGACGTAACACGAGATATTTATATTTTCACTGAACAACTTAATTATTTGATAATTTTCATCATTGACTGATATCACATCTGGAGAATTGTTGAAAATCAGAAAACATTTCATAGGAGTTTTGTTCTAATTGGGAACTTTCCAGTTGTACTGGTTTAATATCAAACATGACATATCAAACAAGATGCAATTGTTACCTTTAGTCTATTATGAATCCATTTATTCCATCATATTTTAATACTTTTTCATACTCATTTTATATAATGCTACTCTTAGAAAAATAGATAATATTTGTTTTAATTATTATTCTGAAGTTGATACAGTCCAAAGTACTATTTTACTCCCCCAATCCACTTGTCACGCATATTTTCGACTAAAAGTTGTCAAAAAATTAGATGCTGTGTATTTTGGTATAGTCTAAGGTGCTATTTTGAATAATGTCAACGATGAACTTCTGATGAGAATGTCAAACTTAGTAAATCCTTACGATTACATATAAACAGTTGATTTCTGAGTGATATCTAAACATTTTAAACTTGGGAAGTGATAATTCATTGATTGATGTGTGTCTCAATGTTTCTTACGTAAACAAATGTATTGGAAAATTGAGATTTCGAACCTAATTCTACTTAGTTTGGTTCAGTCAATTATATAGTAAATGACGTTTCCATTCATCTGTCACTTCAGGTTTACTGCACAACCTTAATTACTGATTTAATATGGATATTCACGATCCTAGTTAGGTTTCACCGAGTGCAATTCAATCAAACGCTCAGTGATACCACTATTTGGAATAGAGTCTATCATCATCATCATCATCTTCGGTGGCAGTACAATATATTCTTAAGAGAAATATTTGTTTTTCATATATGGTTCTGTAAAGATTCGAACAATTTATATATGTTTTTCATTCAGTGTCACTGTTAAGTGACTTTCACCATCAACATTTGTTTCATAGAACATGTATCCACTTCCCATAACACGAATAAACTTTGGTTACAAATGGTAATCATTAGAATTTGAATCAGTAGTCGTGCTCACAGTCAAACTCAAAGATTTAATGTCCAAAAAAATTGTTTATCATAGATGAATCACAAATGATCACTATAGTGGTCAACAACCCATGCTGTTATCCGTCAGTGAAGAAAATCACCTTAGAAATACCTATCTGTAAATTATATTTAATAATATGTCTTTCAGGTGAAGATAATTTTAAATCGTCATCTTTCAAACTGTGTGTAAAACTACTAAGATTAGGCAAAAATACATTTAACTCCGCCTGTAGCTCGTCTAGAGTTACTGTCGGTCCCATGCCCGAGTAAAGAAGGAGGGTTGGGCATGGGGTTAGCGACCCCATCCCGCAGAAAACCAAGTCGCTAAAAAACTCTAACCAGTAAAAATAATTAAAACCATTTAAACTCCGCCCTGGGAGTTAGGTCTTCATTTAGAAGAACTATGACGTCTCATGGTGAAAGCCGAGTTCCTTTGAAACCCCTCGAGGTCAATGCCCTTTCTGACGACTAGAGCAACAATTTTAATAGGTACATGGAACGGCCGGACAATGTGGAAGACCGGGAAGACCAGTCAAATAACGACGGAAATGAGGAGATACAACATGGCAGTACTGGGAATCAGCGAAACCCATTGGACCCAAGCTGGACAACAATGGCTAAATACGAGAGACATGATGCTATACTCCGGTCACGAGGAGGAAAATGCTCCACACACTCCGGGAGTTGCTCTAATGCTGTCCAAAGTAGTACGAAATGCACTTGTAGAATGGGAATCTCACGGATTCAGAATCATCAAAGCATCATTCAAAACAAAGAAAGAGGAGATCACAATGAATATTATCCAATGTTATGCACTCATCAATGATAGCAATGACGACATTAAAGATCAATTCTATGGGAGGCTGCAATCAACCATAGAGAAGTGCCCAAGAAACGACCTCACCATTCTGATGGGAGATCTAAACGCCAAAGTCGGAATAGACAACACCGGATATGAAGATATTATGGGACGACATGGACTGACTGGGAGAGAGAAACGAAGATGGGGAAAGATTTGCAAATCTGTGTGCATTCTACAAATTGGTCATAGGCGGCTCAGTATTTCCACACAAACGTATATACAAAGCTACATGGATCTCACCGGACCAAACCATAGAGAACCAGATAGATCATATTTGCATCAATAAAAAGTTCCGAAGGACAATGGAAGCAGGAGAGGAGCTGACATAGCTTCAGATCACCACCTAGTTGTGGTCAATTTAAAACTGAAGCTAAAGAAGAACTGGACAACTGGACAAACAGCACTACAAAGGTTCAATACTGACTTCCTTCGAGATACTGACAAACTCAATGAATTCAAGATAGCTCTCAACAAAAGGTTCCAAGCCTTACATGATCTACTGAAGGAAGAAGAAACCACTATAGAGGACAACTGGAAAGGTATAAAAGAAGCATTGACTTCAACGTGTCAAGAGGTTTTGAGCCTGAAGAAGCATCATCATAAGGAATGGATCTCTATAGAAACACTGGACAAGATCAAAGAAAGGAAGAGCAACAAGACAGCAATTAACAACAGCCGAACACAAGCAGAGAAAGTCCAAGCCCAATCTAAGTACATAGAAGCAAACAAACAAGTGAAGAAGAGCATTAGAACCGACAAGAAGAAGTACGTGGAAGAACTAGCGACGACCGCGGAAAAAGCTGCAAGGGAAGGAAATATGAAACAGCTCTACGATACAACGAAGAAACTAGCAGGGAAATACAGTAAACCAGAGAGACCGATCAAGGACAAAGAAGGCAGGTCAATCACTGAAATTCAATAACAGCGGAACAGATGGGTAGAATACTTCGAGGAAATCCTGAATAGGCCGGCTCCAATGAATCCACAAGACATCGAAGCAGCACACACAGATCTTCCTATATATGTCAATCCACCAACGACGGAAGAAATCAGAATGGCCATCAGACAAATCAAGAACGGGTAAGCAGCAGGACCCGACAACATACCAGCTGAAGCACTGAAGTCAGTTGTCGAAGTAACTATAAACATGCTTCACCTTCTATTCAAGAAGATTTGGGAGGAAGAGCAAGTGCCTATAGACTGGGAAGAAGGACACCTCATCAAGATTTCAAAGAACGGAGATCTGAGCAAATGTGAAAACTACAGAGGCATTACACTACTGTCAGTACCTGGGAACGTCCTTAGCAGAGTGTCGCTGGACCGGATGAAAGATTCAGTAGACGCCAAACTTCGAGGTCAACAAGCTGGATTCCGTAAGGATCGGTCGTGCACAGACCAAATTGCGACACTACGGATCATCGTCGAACAATCAGTTGAGTGGAACTCATCACTGTACATCAACTTCCTTGATTATGTGAAGGCATTTGACAGTGTAGATAGGAGGACATTATGGAAACTTCTTCGACACTACGGAGTTCCTGAGAAGATTGTCAATATTATCCAGAACTCATACGACGGACTACAGTGCAAGGTTGTGCATAGAGAACAGCTGTCAGATGCATTCCAAGTAAGGACCAGAGTCAGACAAGGCTGTTTACTCTCTCCCTTCCTCTTTCTTCTGGTGGTCGACTGGATTATGAAGACCT